CCTAGACCCTTCATCTGATGAAGGGTCTAGGCCCGAAACGTCAGCCTCTCTGCTCCTATGATGCTGCTTGGCCTGCTGTGTTCATCCAGCCCTGCACCTTGTTGTCTCGGATTCTCCAGCATCTGCAGTTCCTACTATCTCTCATTAATTCCTTGGTTCGCTCTTGAACTGCACTGTCTGTTTGGGTCATTGGCTGTGAAGATTTCCATCACTTCATCCAGGAGTTGGAAAGCTCTTGACAGTTGTTTCTTTGACAAACTCAAGTGGATGGCAGTGCTTCATTGCCTTCCTTTCCAGCTTGTTGACTCACTAGCAGCATCAAGCCCTCAACAATCCTCTCTGTAGAATGTAATCAATTCCTCTATTTCAGCCTCACCCACTTTGAAAAGGTCCTGTTTCCATGCTGAAGCTCAGGGACAGTATCATGAGATCCTTCTTCCTCACTCAGGCCACAATATCCACCACAGCATCGTGACTTCATCCCATCCATCAGTGATATTGTTGATGCTCTTGAGGATGTTGTAACTGTGTCAAACTTAGCTGATGGAGTAGTCACACCAGATGACACCTTTTTATTTATTTCTTTCATGGGATGTGGACATTATAGATAGGCCAGCATTTATTGTCCACCCCTAATTGCCCAGAGGGCTGTTAAGAGTCAAACACATTGCTAAGGATCAGAAGTCACATGCAGGCCAGACCAATTAAGGATGACAGAATTCCCTCACTCAGGGGCATTAATGAGTCAGGAGGTTCTTTCTAACAATCAGCAATGGTTTCACAGTCATTATTAGACTCTTAATTGCAAATTTTCATCTCTACGGCTGGTTTCAAACCTGGGGACTCTGGGCTCGTGTTAATACCGCTAGGCCATCACCTCTTGTTGATGTGCTGGGGAGATAGTCAGCCTGGAGTATCATTATTACTCTCTGATCTACAGGATATAGCAGTGACATGATGCTGACTTGTCAGGAAAGCACCTCCACATTATCAAAGACTTCATCAAGGCCAATGAGATGACCAAGGCAATTATCCAACAGGGGCGACATTTTGAAGCCAAGTTTTTTTTTTCTGTGGAACAACATGTGATCCAAACAGGGATGGCATAGAGAGAACCATTCCTGAAAGGCTGCCCCAACCCACCCCAGAATTTCTTATTTCAGCACCAAGTGACATGCAGATACTGTGCAATGCCCAGAGTGTATCCCACTGGTGCAGTCACAGAACAATGTCCCTCTTCTCCAGCACAGACACATTGTGCTGAGTAGCTTCCCAAATGTCTTCTGGACCATTCTGAGCTCACCTTCCCACTCCCAATTGTACTGCTGATGTTCATTAACTCTTAGGCGCTTGATGGATGACAAAGGCTGCGAACTGCAGTGGGAGGGCAGCATGTAAAGAAGCTGGAGCCAGGTCAGGAGAAGAAGCAACACAGATAAGGATCAAAGGTTCATTCAATAATACACCGCTAATGTAGAATGTACACATTCGGACTTATTTCTTTCTCTCGTTATACACAGGACAGATAATATAGGAAATAATATGAAACGATTTTACATACATTACCTTGATCTTTGGAGCTCGGTACAGCATCTTATGTGCATCTCAGGTGCAAATGCATCAGTCCAATATCGTTTTAATGCAATGTTCTTTCTTGCCACAAGTGGACAACCCCATGGGAGCATTTTCTTTTTCTTTTATCTTAATAAGGCATGTTTAAAACCGAAACACGAATGTATTCCTGTATTTTAAGGATGAAATCGAAGTGGACTATAAAATGGATATCAGTCTGCAGCAGCCAGCTGATCTCCCGGAGCTGGGGAGGGAAGCGAGGTTTGCAGCCTTTTAAACGGTGGCTTTTATTGGGGCGTTTGCAATAACCAACCGTTGAAATTGGGACTGAATGTGTATTTATCGTTTGCAAAGCATGCGTTCTTATTAGTGCTTTTAATTCACAGCCCAGAATGCAAATCTTAGGTGACAGCTTAGCTACAAACGGGGAAATAAACGCTACATGCATTCAAGGAATTGTCTGCAAATTGACTTCAGTTGCATTATAAATGTGTCCTTTCTAAGTACGTAGCCTGTTACCTGTTCAGGGACCGAGCTGTCAATCATGAGCAGCTCCGCCTGCCAGCGGCCTGTCAATCAAAGAGGAACAATGAGCGTCCCTCACCTGCATCAGCTGGCTCTCCCCGGGAGGTTGGCGCGGGGCCGTCTGGGAGTTGTAGTCCCCTCCTCCTGTCGATCGGGGGCGGAGCCAGGCTCGGAACTACAACTCCCGGCGTGCCCCGCGACCCCCCTGCGCGACATGTAGGCGAGCGCTGGGCGAGGGAGCTGCCAGACAAGTGGAGCTAGAGCGGCGGACCAGACGGGTTTGGACGGCAGGCTGCTGCACCAGCCAGGAGCAGACAGACAGCAATTTCCACAGAGGTATGGTGCAAAAATTGCAGAGCAATCGGGCGTGAGAGAAAACACAAGCAAATAGAGAAGCATTCACTCATCAGAGAATTTTCAATCAGTGAAAATACCCCCAAGCTTGCTAGTTGAATCAGAGCTTGTTGAAGGTATTTGTTTATGTTTTTGTTCTCTGGACAATTTCTTTTGGGAGGTTTGCATGTTTGCTTCTTGCTGCAACTGCAAGGCAGGGGATCTGTCAGTGACTTGTGTTGCTGCACTGGGAGTAGATGCAATGTGCTGGTGGTACTCTGTAAGCTGCAAGCTCAGTACACGATGGGAGGGTGGGGGTAGTTCATGGGGACGTTTTGCACTTTGCAAAAGGGTCGCCGACCCAAATAATTGTAACTTCTGAATGAAAATACGGAGCCGTGGGTCGGGCTTATTGACGTGCACTGCTATTAAACCTTCTGCAGCCCAGTGTTGCTCAGATAAAGAGCATTGCGAGCAAGAGATGGGGTTTGTGGGGGGAACAACACAAGTGTAATTGGCCGAGTGGTCTTCCGCTCTGCAATGTGGAATACTGTAACCATCACCAAACAAAAACCAGGCGATACACCCATTTCTCACGATGTGATGCCTTGAATATATTGATTTGAGGTGATCAATAAGAGTTTATTTACTCCGCAAAATAATACTTAGGGACCGTCAAGTGGGTCAGCTTCAGATGAAAACAGCAGTCTTGGTATTACCTAATCTCGTTGCCCTTGTTTTATTTTTCTCTGCATATTTAGCGAAGGTTTTTTTTGAGATGTTATCAGGTGCAGAGGGAACATCCAACAGAAAGAGCAGCGTGCTGATTTTGGAACTGAAATGTCTGCAATAATGAAGCTATTTTGGTTAAAGCAGAGGGTCCAAACGGCTGGGAAAATTCCTATCTGTATCATTTGAAGACCCCTTTAATTAGCGCATTGGATAAACCGGACCCGTGACTCTGGAACCAGTGCCGTGTCGGAAAGTAACAATATCTGCATGTTAGAACGGAGATTTGCAAGTCTTTTTTTCATTTCTGAAAGAAATTTCGCACAGCGAGACTCAACATCTGCTTCCTCGCGGTTTAAAACAAAAAGTGTCGTATTTATATTGTCTAGATATTTTCGTGGGATTAAAAATAACAGTTTAATATTTGCTTTAAATGCGGGCAATGTGGGACACTTAGTAGACAAAGCATCTGGGTTGTGGAGCTCCTTTCAGGCTGTACTGTGCTATAGAGAGCATTGTGTAACAGAACTTCATTCAGGCAGTGGGATTGAGGGCAGTACGGATCTAATAGTGGGTGCAATTTTGATTTACTTGGCTTATTAAAAAAATATGTTTTTGTTTGGATTACCATGACTAGTATTTTCAGTTGTTCGCAATTGTTATTGGTTGACTGTGTATTTTTAAACAAAAAACAACTTGCTACAGGAGGAATATATCATTTTGCTTATTCTGTCTCCAGGCATTTTAGCACCAAACTCGCACCCACCCGCACCCTTCCTAACACCTCCTGTCTATAATTTACCCAGAGTAATAAACGGATGGGTCAAGTCGGGACATTGACTTTGACAGGTCAAGCACTCGTCACAGGAGAATTCTACATGTTGGGAGGGTTTCTGTTGCTCTTCCTCAGAACGTAGGATTGACACAACAATTTCAGAACAGAAGGAGGGCTTTAAGCCCCTTGTGTCAGTGCTATCCCTCTCTGCCAAAGCCACTTGGACAGTCACACTCCTGGCCTGCAGTTTTATTTTTGCTTCCTAAAAACCCTTTGAAAGCCATGATTCAATGTGCCTCTGCACACACATTCCAAATCCAATATACTCAGCCTCATTTGTTTTTGCTTGTAGGTTCCTCTAGTTCTTGACCCTGCCACCAACCTCCTGTGCTGTTGAGACAAATAATGATGGGAGTGTGTTAATGGATGATGTGAGGTTACAGTGGCTAAGTAATCTTTGTTCAGTGGTAGCATTCTCATCTGTCAACCACAAAGACTGACACTCGGGTGTTACACTGAGGGAGTGCTGCACTGTTGGGGATGCTGTCTCTTGGACGTTAAGCCAAGGCCCTGCCTTCCCTCGACCTCAAAGACCCAGTGACACTATTCAAAGTTAACTCGAGCAGCTGTCAAGCTGGCTTGGCAAATAACTATCTCTCAAACTGTGTCATAGATTATCTGGCCGTTTATTTCATTTTTGTTTGTGGGAGCTTGCTGTGCACAATTTGTCTGCTAAGTTTGAGTACAATGCAGCAGGGACTGTTTCCAAATAATGCTTCCTTGCCTTGGTCTCCTGAAGCTCTGCAAGGTAGTGATGTAAATCTGAACCGGAAGAACTGCGGATGCTGTAAGTCAGAGTTGCTGGAAAAGCTCAGCAGGTCTGGCAGCATCTGTGAAGGAAAAAACAGAGTTAACGTTTCGGGTCCGGTGACCCTCAGAACAGTTCTTTTCCAGCAGTGATGTAAATCTGTCTTTGGAGTCTTTGCAACTCATTTGTGACACTAATCTCTGTTTATGGAAGGACAAACAAGCCACATTTTGGAGAGAAATATTAAATATTTCTCTGAACAACTGTAAATTAATTCAGCAGCAAACAGGGAATGGCTCCAACTGAGAAATCTGTTCATTTGCCACAGTTTGAATGACCACCAACCCAGAATTCACAAAGTAATGTATGCAAAATCTTTAACCTTGCCTCCTGTGACAGGAGAACACTTTTGATTTATGGTTGACGTGTGATAATTCTCTACACTTCCACAATAAAAGCTTCAAACTATTGGAATACTCTGCCTCTGGATAGAAAACCACATTCTACTGACAGCAATCTTTTCACTCACACAGGGACCCAGATGGAAATATGCCTGCGTGCAGAGATATTTGTTGAGTTGTTTGGAACAGGCACGTGTTGCATTCTTTGTCTCTGTAGTCCCTCGATACAAATACATTATTCCTGTTTGACAGGATGTTCAAATAGATTTCTTCTTCAAGTTCGGACAAGGAACTGCCAAATTGAAATATAATATGCGGAAATGTGAAATTGTCTAATTCGTCAGTAAGAATAAAAAGGAGCAAGTTATCTAAACGATGAGAGATTGAAGAGCTCTGAATTTCAGAGGGATCTGGATGTCCTAGTGCACAAATCTCAACAAATTAGTATGTAGGCACAGTAAGTAATTAGGAAAACTAACAATGTTATTGTTTGTTGCGTATGGAATTGAGTACAAAAGTAGGGACGTTATGTTGCAGTTATGATAGGCATTGGTGAGGCAATGTGTGGGGTACCATACAAAGAGTCAGGGTGACTCTTTCATTTTTAGTTCTTTCTTGTTGAGACATACCAGAGTCCTCAGGTAGTATTCTGGGGATCCAGATTTGAATCCTGCCACGGCTGATGGTAGAATATGAATTCAAAGACAAAATGTCTGCAATTAAGAGTATAGTGGTGACCATGAAGCCATTGTCAATTGTTAGAAAAAAACTCATCTGGTTCCCTCATGTCCCTACCTGATTTGGTCTACATGTGACTCCAGACCCACAGCAATATAGTCGACTGAACAATTAGGGATGGGCAATAAATGCTGGCCTTGCGGATGAAACTCACATCCTGTGAATGAATAAAAGACAGTCCAACTGTGCTATGCCAACCTGTTACGTTCTATTTCCTCACTTTTACTCATTTCTCTAATACATTCTTTTGTCTTATTGTTTGATGGAACCTGGCAGTCACTGGCAAAGCCAGCTTTTATTGCTTTGAAATGAGCAGCTCACAAAAAAATAATAAAAGAACGAGAAAATGAATGAGTCAGTTACTTTGCTGCAGATGTGGATTCATATGTAGGCCAGACCAGGTATGGACAGCTGTTACCTTTCTGTAGTCATCAGTTCTGAAGACCAGTCACTGAACTAGAAATGTTAACTCTGTTTTCTTTGAAGAGGTATTGCCAGACCTGCTGAGTTTCTCTGGCAATTTCCCACTTTTGTTTGTGGCAGTGACCTTCCCTGAAGGGCATTAGTGAACCATTTGCAACAACGATAGTTTCATTGTCACCGTTACTTTGTATTCCAGATTTATTAATTGAAATTAAATTTCATCAGCTGCTGTGGTGGGATTTGACCTTTATATCTGCAGTATTAACTTGGATCACTTAGTCAGTGACATTACCACTAGGCCACTGTCTTCCCATTTAAAGGAGTGAATATACTTTCCATAGTTAATGGATAATTTGCTTTAAACTTGTGAAATGAAGCATTTGGTGACAACTGGGTTTTGGGAGGCTTTCAGTATGGCTAAGTATGTTACTATCTGACAGCCAGTACTGGATGAACAGAAATGTCTTCCAATTAAATATAGGCAAGACTGAAGCCATTGTTTTCAAACCTTGCTCCAAATTCTACTCCCTAATGTATTGACTCCACCCATTTCCCCTGGCAACAGTGTGAAATTAAGCCACTCTATTTGTCACGGTTGCTGTTTAAATGAAGTTCCGATCTCAAATTCACACCTTCATTGAGACCACCTCCATGGCATCAGCTGACTTCACCCCTGTATTGGCTTATCAATGCTGAAGCTCTCACTGTGCCTTTATTAACTCTAGACTGTTCCAGTTACTGCTGGTTGGACTCCCAAATTCTACATTCTGTAGATTGACTCCCAAATTCTACATTCTGTAGACTTTAGGCACCCCATATTCTGAGATACGTTGGCTCACAATCAAGCAAATCTTGATTTTAAGATTTCCATCCTTGCTTTCAAATCCATGGCCTCACTCCTCTATGTTATCTGTAATGTCCTTTAGCCTCACAACCTTCTGAGATCTGTGCACTCCTGTAATTCCAGCCTCTTGAGTATCCGTAATTTTAATCACAGTATCATTGTAGCTGCTCCCTCAGTTAGCCAAGGCCCAGACTGTGCAATTTCCTCCTAAATTCTCCCTGCGTCTTCAAGACATCTAATTAAAACATGCCTCTTTGACCAAGGTTCTGATTTTGTGGCCCGGTGCCATATTTTGTTCAGTGATGACTCTGTGAAGCAGTGTGTGATGTTTTATCATGTTAAAAGTGCTATTATCAAGTTAAGTTGTTGTTGGCTACCTTTTCTGGACTAAAAGAGACAAGTTTACGATGTGGAGCAAAGGGTTGTGAGGACACTTCGTAAGTACACCCAGCACGTGACCACTTCTTGTTAATGATGAAATTGACTTCACTCTTATCTTTATTACTATTCTTTCACAGGGAATGAAAGAAATCAGCTGGGTGTTTGCCGGAAGTGACAGTGCATTGCACAACGTGTTCCCTCCTGAAGAAGCACCTAAAGATTAGAAAAATCTTAAAACTAGACAATCAGGACTTCTCAAAGGAGGGAAATAACACGACAAGAGCCAAACTGTTCTTGGAAACCTAGAAATCTCTTTAAAGAGGAGAGACTGTGGCCAGTGTGAAAATGGAGACGGTTTCCCAAGATTCACAAATGGAATGCCAAATTTGTTTTAATTACTACAGCCCACATCGCCGCCCTAAGCAATTGGACTGCAAGCACACTTGCTGCTCTGTCTGCCTTCAGCAGATGAGGAGCAGTCAAAAGGAGCTGATGTGCCCCTGGTGTCGCAGTGTCACCAAGCTGTCCTCCAGTCTGTCTGTATCCCAGCTGCCTGATGACCCAGAAATCATCACCATCATCAGCATCCCACACACTTCAGAGCGGACCCCGGTGTTTATCAGGCTCCCGACCAGTGGCTGCTACATGGTCCCTCTGACTGTCACAAAGGAGAATGCCCTGTTGCCAGGAGAAGGTGGTTGCCGACTGTTGCCGGGGAATCAGCGGAAGACTGTAACTGCCGTGCTCATCCCCGGGGATCAGCAACAACAGCAGCAACAGATGCCCCAACGGCACCAGATGCCACATGGACCCAGGGAAGACGAGGAAGAGGACGAAGGCCAGGATGGTGTGAAAACGTCCACTTGCTCGGGTGTTTGCACTGTGCTCCTCGTGGCGTGTGTGCTCCTTTTCCTACTTGGCATTGTCCTCCATAACATGTCGTGCATTTCAAAGCGATTCACCGCCATCTCCTGTGGCTGAAACCTCCTGTCGAGCAGTGAAAGGCTTCAATATTTACCCACGTGCAGGACACTGACCAATGGCTGAACTGAAGAACGCGCAGCATTTAGTCTCAAAAAAATCATGGACTACAGACCGATTCTGAGGAAGTTGAATAAAAGCATAAAGCCGCAAGAATGATTCATTTGGGAAGTGATTTGCACCTAAGGTGTAATCTGATCATTCAGCCGCCAAGTGTACTTTGTTGTGGATTTTTATAGGGTTTTGCCTCTGAAGTTAGAAAGTGCACAATTAATAGAAAGTAATTTCTTTTACATGATGATGTATTTCTAAACCGCTATTAACTATAGCCTTCCTTTTGAGGGGAAATGCAATAAAGTATTCACAGTGTAACTTGAATCCATCAGCTGTTGATTTTGGCATAGACATCAGTTTATGCAGCAAAACCTGGACTATCCTGTCAAAACTTGGACTTTAAATCTTTGTAATACATTGAGTTGTAGCAATCTCTTGCAGAGGTAAAGCTCACGTTTTGTCACCAGAATCTGGGATTGGATTTAACACAAATGCAATCAACTGAAAACACAATCATTTTATTTAAATAAATTAGTCATTACTTTTCATTTTCAAATTTGTAAACAGATTGTTGGAATTGAGCTTAATCTAGTTTATAATTTTTCTTTGGATTTGTACATACAAGTGTAACATTTTTTTAAAGTCTTGTACTAATCACAGTGATATATAATCATAACGAATTACACGAATTAGACAATTTTGGTCAGTTCTTTGAGAGTTTGCGATATTTTAGATGTCTGCAATGGTAGATTGGGTTGTGGTTATCCTTTTTAGCTAGTACAAAGCAGAACTGTAATGATGAATTATTTTAGTTCATAATTGAATATGTGATTGTTCATCTATTTAGAAGACATATTTGTTATGACCAATTGGACATCATTTTAGATAGAGATGAATTTCAAGTTGTGAATTAACATAGAAGCAAAGTCGAATATTTTAATCTATCGAACATACTATGTGTCGAAAGCTGATATAGGTTTTATATATCTGGGGCTTTCAAGCTGTTTAGGGTTTTGTATGAATCAGTCAGACTTACTAAAATTACTTGTCTCTGAATGCATAACATTCTAAAGTAAGAAAAAAAGCATTAATTCATTTGTCTTTAAAGATGTACTTTAGTGCCCTGTGGTTCAGTGCTAGCTGTTGGAAAGGGCTGAATAGTGTTGTTGAAAGTGATTGCAGATGGTGACAAGGAATATCACAAAAACAAATGTTTGGTGATGCAGTTAATATAGAAAGAGAAGAATGATCCCTTATGACTTGAGATGACATGACACGAAAATGAAATGAGATATGGATGGAGCTGGGTTGCAACATTAAGGATGCCTTGTCATGCTGTATTCAGATTGTGGTTACAGTTTGTTTGTGCACTCTGTTTTAATTTAGATCTTGCCATTTTTCTTGACGAGAAGTTAACATTCTTATTGATCCAAAATGTTATCGTTCTCTCCCTACAGTTTTGTAAATAGAAATTTGGGACAGGTTTGTGGTGTAAAATACAGAAGTTTCTCTCAAAATTATTTTACCAATTGGATCTATTGAACCATTGTTCATTTAATATTTTCCTTGTTACTGTGCTGCACAGTCGTAATACCCTACTGGGTAACTATACATCGGGATTTAATTAGGTCTGTGCTAGTTCAGTGGATGCGAATGGTAGCAAATCAGCTTTCTTACAAGGTAAACAAAAGTGGTTGATAGACCGGTATTATGCCTCAGCTAATATTCCACAATCACTGCTGCCTGCACATGTTATGAAATGGTTTTAACCTTTTTCACAGGGTTATTTGTTTTGCAAATATGTCATTGTGATTAAGCACACTGAGGTGTATGAATTGCCAATGTGTGCACATACCTGTGGTAACCTGCCAAAAGTTGAATTTTTTTTATAAGAGGTGAAACTTGTTGCTGACAGCTGTATTGTCTTTGTGCTCTTGTAGAAGAACAGACATGCGTGGAGTTGCAATAGGGCATTTATTTTCCCCTTTCTGACCCATTTTTTGTGAAGCAGTGTTCCAAACCTGCCTCTTATTTGTAGAATGTTCATTTTTGTTTAACGATTGTAAGGAGTGCATTGATCATTAATAGACCACTGTACTGTGACTCTGTTGTCTTAACAACATTACTCGAGAGTTTATAATAAACTTCTTCAATTGACGTTTTCCAGTTTATTTATTCAATCAACACACAACATCCATTCCTGTAAAATATCATTTCATTAAGTGATTTTCTACTCCTCCAAATATACAAGACAAAATGACAGTGAAGGATTTCTATTTGGATTTCATTGGCTGTCACAATCCGGTGAAATAATGTTTGTCGTGAGGTTTTCGTTTAGAAAAGATGAACTTGTGATGTACAATATCTGCACTAACAGAACGTTTTTCTTTAGGAGCAATTCTGCCATTGTGGATTTGTGTTTTCTGCCCATGGGGCATGCTAGAGTGAAACGAAACACTGACTAAAATGACCTAGTGGTTCCCTTCTTTGTTCCTAACTGGACAATGAAAATGCACTGTTGGATGGGAACTTTGGAACTTAACCCATCATCTTACATAAATCGAGTTGGAAGGGTTGGCGGTTTATATTGAGATGCTGGCAATGGCTTTGGGCTAATAATCTAGAGGCAAGGCTAATGCTTCGGGATATAGGTTCAATTCCTACCGTGAGGCCTGGTGGAATTTGTATTCAATGAATCAATTGCAATAAAGACCCGTCTGGATTGTTGATGCCCCTTAGGGAAAGAAATTGGTCACCTCAACTACATGTGAGTCCAGACCCACAGCATTTGTCTCTTAATTGCCATCCAAAATGGTCTAGCAAGCCATTTAGTTCAAAAGCAATTAGGGATAGGCTCTAACCCATGAAAGAAAAAATAATTGTTTAAAATTCATTCCTGAGATGGGTGTGACTAGCTAACTCAGTATTTATTGCCATCCCTAGTTGTCTTGGAAAAGGTGGTGGTGAGCCACAGTACATACTCTCCTGGTTGAAAGACAGGAAATGCGTATTTCAAAACAATTTTTTAACTGGTGTCAAGATACTGAAAATAATTACATTTCTGTTTTCTACAATCTACCACTTCTGAGGTATGCCAATTATTCACTGGCTGTGGCATTAGGGGGAATGGAGCGATGATTATAGTTCATCATCTTGTCCAGTGACACTAGGGCAACACACAACTGCATGATTTATTAAACAGCTTTGCACAAAATACTCCTTTTTCGGGTTGAAATGCATTGCAAGGTGACGGGGGTTATAGAAATTCATGGTATGAAGGCTGCAGGTTGAATAATTGTATCGTGCTGGCTGTAAAAGAGTCCAATCCCACTATTCAGCCCTTGCCCTGTTGGTTGGTTCCAGTTCTTCAAATACATATCCAAATACTTTTTAAATGTGATCAGAGTCTTAAAGATATACAACATGGTCCAAATCGTTTGTGCTGACCAGATATTCTACATTAAGCTAGTCCCATTTGCCAGCATTTGGCCCATATCCCTCTAAACCCTTCCTATTAATATACTTGTCCAGATGCCTTTTAAATGCTGTAATTGTACCAACCTCCACCACCTCATCTGGCTGCTCATTCCATACATGCATCACCCTATGCATGAAAAATTGCCTCTTATGTCCCTTTTAAATCTTTTCCCTCTCACCTTAAACCTATTCCCCCTAGCTTTAGACTCCCCTATCCTGGGGAAAGCACCTTGGATGGTCACTCTATCAATGCTGCAAATGATTTTATAAACTTCTGTAAGTTCACCCCTCAGCCTCCGATGCTCCAGGGAAAAAAGCTCCAGCATGTTCAGCCTCTCGCTATGGCTCAAACCTTCCAACCCTGAGAACATCCTGGTAAATCTTTTCTGGACCCTTACAACTTTCACAAAATCTTTGCTATAGCAGGGAGATTAGAATTGAATGTAATATTCCAAAAGTGGCCTCATCAATGTCTTGTACAGCTGCAACATGATCTCCCAACTGTTATACTCAATGCATTACTGCCTCATTGGCCTTTTCAGGCAGTGACTTCCAGCCCCTCGCCGAAATATGGGTGAAACATTTATGTCGCAATTCTCCTTTAATCCGTACAATTTTTTAAACCTTAAAACTTATGATTGACTTCTCTGCTGATGCAAGTAGGCATTTATTGCTTATTGAGGTCCCTCATTACTCGATCTCTTCCCCAGTTTCCATTTCAATGAAAACAACTCCAGTCAATCTGATTTTGTTTTCTTTTTGCTAGAATTCTGCATTGCTGGCAACATCCTCATAAGTTTCATCTCTGCCTTCTTTTGTGTGATCACCGTAAACACGATAGATCAACCTGTAATGCAGTAACCAGAACGGTACAGACCAGCTCTTGGCTAAATTAATGCTTTGTACAGTTCCAGTCTCTCTCCCTGTTCTATTCAATGCCTCGGTTAGTAAAGGAAATTATTACAAATATCTACTTACCTATCTGTCCTGTTACCAGGGATCTGTGGACATGTTCTCCCAAGGTCCTTCTGTTTCTCTCCTCAGTATTCGACCATTTATTGTTTATTTTTCAGGCTTAGTTGGTCTTCTATCTTCATTTTAAAATTTTCAGACTGAACTCCATTTGCCATTCTTCTGCCCAACTGATTAGTCCATTGTTAACTTCCTACTTTCTTTCCGACTATCCACCAAGCAACCAATCTTTTGTATTGGCAAACTTCTTAGAAATTAAATCTCCCACTTAACGTCTGAATTGTCGACAAAAGTCACCTACAATAGATGATCCATGACTGAGCCCTGTGGATCCCCCACTGAAAATAGCCTTCTGGTCAGAAAAACATCCGTCGTCCATTACACACTGTTTCTGTACCCTTATTCAATGAATATCAAATAATTCAGGTACAAACTGCTGATCTATTCCTCAAGGTGACCACTTTTATCATTGATGTCTTTTTAGAACACCCAGCTCATCTCATATTTAAATTAGGACATAGAACTGTACAGCACAGGAACGGGCCATTCAGCCCACGATGCTGTGCCGAACATGACGCCAAATGAAACTAATCCCTTCTGCCTGCCCTTGGTCCATATCCCTCCATTCCTTGCATATTCATGTGCTTATCTAAAAATCCCTTAAACGTCCCTATCGTATCTGCCTCCACCACAACCCCTGGCAGTGCGTTCCAGATTCCTACCACTCTCTGTGTAAAAAAACTTGTCCCTCACATCTCCTTTGAACTTTTCCCCCTCTCACCTTAAATTAATGCCCCCTGCTATTCGACATTTCAACTCTGGGAAAAAGATTCTGACCGTCAACTCTTTCTATACAGATTCAGAGATGGATTGATGTAAGTATTTACCTGATGGTTGGGAAAAATGCTTGTTTATTGTGGGATGTGGGTTTCATGTGACCTGTTAGGCTAGTCCAGAGGGTATTTTAAGAGTTAAATCACATAGAGTGGGTTTGGAGTCACATGCAGGCTGGACCAGGTAAGGGCAGCAGATCTCTCCTTATCCTAAAGGATATTAACAAAGTAGATTTTATTTTTAATGATGATCAATGATAGTTTGTTGGTCACCATTACGGGGACTAGCTTCAAATCAAGGGTTTTTATTTGTTATGAAAGCAGATAACTGGAAGTTATTCAGAGAAGTGTTTTGTCCAGTCAGTGCTACTTTTAGGAATGTTGATAAAGATTGACTAGCAGGGTAAAAGGCTTTGCTATTGGTACTGCACCAATCACTACCCATCAGTCACAGAATCAGAGAAATGTTATGGTGCAGAACGAGACTATTCAGCCCATTGTGCTTGCACCAGTTCATTAAATGAGTGTCACTACTGAGAGCCTTGCTGTTCCCCCATTCTTTTACACACCATTTCTATCCAAATAATCATCCAAATACCTTCTTGACTGCCTCAACTCAACCTGCCTTCATCACACTTCCACCATTGCACCCTAACTTCTCACTGAAAAGAAAAGTTTCATCTCACCTCACTTGTATGTCGTCTCGTTCTTGTTCTTTTTACTCATCAGCCTGCTCAAGATGTGTAGTACAGGAATCATGCTGCATTGATACTGGGTACAAAACAGATGCAATGTTAGAATCGTAGAATCCCTATGGTGCAGGTGGAGACCATTCGGCCCATTAAGTCTGCACTGACTTTCCACGGAGCATCGCATGCAAACCCATGCCTCCACCCTATCCTCATAACCCCACATTTACCATGGCTAATCCACCTAGCCTGCAGGGAGAATGTACAAACTACACATGGACAGTTATCTACATCCCTGGCCCTGTGTGGAGCATTGCTAACCACAGTGCCACTGTGCCACCCACACTTAGTAGGTAGTAGCAGCATTGTTTTCTCTGAGGTCTTGAACAGGGCCGGTGCATCCATAAGGTAAACCAGACAGTCATAATTTGGGGAAACGGTACGAAACTGGACAAATAATTCATGAA